TGAGAACAGAAATCGAGCAGCGGCGGCACAGCGGCAGTGGGAGGCCCCATTAGCTAAAGTGGTGCTTCAGGTTAAGAACAGTTTCAGGTTAAGAACAGACCTCCAGAACGAATTAAGTTCTTAACCTGAAGTACCACTGTACAGTCTCCTGTAACTGGAAGCAGCTGTTCAGGGCCCCGGGCAGAGGATGGTTTTTCCCATTCCTGATACTGTATGTGACAAAGTCCTTCTCCTGGAGGTCAAGGATTAAAGTAAGCGGATCCAAAGGGGGGGGGCAGAGAAGTGACCAGCGAGGTGGGTGCGCCCAGGGCACATGCTGAAAAATCCAAACATGCTCACAGGCCTAGAAAGGCTGGCAACCCTTGTACTGATCCAGCCTGGAGGGAAATCCTTTCCTATCTCCAGGATGAGCGATTCTTTTTCGAGAGGAGTTTCCCCTTTGTTGCCACTTTTGGGAAAGACTCAGAGCTGTAGCTACAGGGGAAGGGGGCTAGCCAGGATTTCTTTGCCCCAGGTGAAGCCTCCAGGGGGGCAGCATTGAGGCGCCCAGCCTGTGGGGGGGCGCCAAACTGGGTCTTTGACCTGGGTGAAATAAGGCCTAGTTTTACCCCTAGAAAGACTAACCGTCCTCTGCTGACCATCCTCCGATTCAGATTTTGGACCCTTCTGATCTTCCCCATCCTCTTCTCCCGCTGAGGACTTCTTCTTTCTTCTCCGGCTTCTTCGTTCCTTGGAATTTTTCGATGCCAAAGGTGACATTTCAAATGAGCTAAGTGACATCGAATCGATTCCTCGGGCTAATGCCTGGAAGGAGCAGAGGAACAAAACAGAAATATGCTACCTTTAAAACTATATTTATATAACACTTTATATATATAGCACAGAGAGAGAGAGATATCTTTAACTTATAGAGTTAGCCTCGTTCAAACCAATTTCAGCATTCCTTGCCAAGCAAAACTTGAAGAAAACTAAACACGATTCAACATGCTAGTGATTTTCCCCCCACAGTGGGTTTCACAGAATCCTTAAATCACAATAGTGCTTAGAAAACGTTTCCCTACATATTAAAGATGAAACCTAATTTAGTTGTGAGCTGAGTTTTCAATTTGAAATTCGGTGAGAGTTGCAAAGTTCCTTGACAACACAACCGGCCCACACTGGCCCAATAATGGTCTGAACTGGGTGAAGTGGTACTATGACCAAGGGCACTCAAAAAACCTGTGTCTTGGCTGGAACTTGAATCCTGACTCCATCCCATCATCTACTGCCATGATTCTCAAGTGTGAGGCATTGCAGACTGCCCCCCCCCAAAAAAAACATGTTCAAGAGTCTAGAGCCAACATTGATAATGTTGAGGCATTTGAGCACAGGCAAAGCTCTCTACCACGAGGGCAATGGAGTTGGACTTTCTGGGAAATCTCTGCTTCTCCCAAGAAAGCAGAAGCAACAGCCCGTGTTATTTCTGCTGATACAGATTTTTCTTTTTCTTTTTTGCAAGCAAAATCTTATCCTGCAAAGTGACAGAACCTGCTGTGACCAGGGATCCAGAGCGATAAACACAAACCATGGGCTTAAAGCACACAAACACACACACACGCCAGCCCACACGTACATAATACACAGATAAGATAGACTATTCTCCTCTGCATGCCTGGACAGCATGCCCTCTGCGCCAGCTATCTGGAGAAATCGCTGCAGGAAAAGTCTGATAACACCAAGAGGTGCTAGAAATGGAGCAGAAGCCAAATTAGGTGGGGGAGGGAGAGAGAGAGTAAAAATAATAATAATGATGTTGCTACAACACAGCCTGGAAACGAAACCAACTCCTCCACCTCGCGATAATCATGAAAAAGGAAGCCAATAACTAGGAAAAGGACAATAAAATGCACATTTGGGCTAGAGGTCAGCACTGCATCTTTAACTGTGTCATAACCCTCTCCCTGCCCCCCACTCAGTCACACACCAATGTTCCCATTATGTAAAATGAGGTGGGAGACAGAGATTGCACCATTCTGGACTGTACCCTCTTGTCTGTTGTTGAGGGGGACCTATTTTTATTTTCCTATTACATCCTTCCTGCAAGGAGCTCAGCGTGATGATCACCCACCACCCTAAACATCCTGTTCACTGCAATTTCACCTTTACAACAATCCTGTGTGTTGAGGTCAGGCCAAGAGGTTGCCAGAATTCGCCCATGAGCTTTACAGCTAAGCAGGGATTTGAACCCGGGTTTAACGCAGCTCTTTGGTTATGCCGAATTGCGGTACTTAATTCGCCAGCCCGAACACATTACCTTGGCAAAAGAACCTGGCTTGGCAAGCTTGCTCTTATATATTCTACCCACAGATACAGGATCCTGAGAATTGGAAGGGTATCAGGGTTACATCTAGGATGATCCCCACCCCCAAACTAATATCAAAATTAAGGTGGTGCAACATTCAAATCACTCATTTGAAGTATGAAGTGGTATAGTCTCAAAAGGGCTATACAGTCATACCTCGGGTTACAGCCGCTTCAGGTTGCATTTTCTCCGGTTGCGGACCGCCAAAAGCCGGAAGTACCAGAACGGGTTACTTCTGGGTTTCAGCAGTCACGCATGTGCAAAAGCATAAGTGCCGAATCGCAACCCGCGCGTGCGCAGACGCACAGATGTGGGTTGCAAACGTGTATCCCACACGGATCACGTTCGCAACCCGAGCGTCCACTGTACAGTGGTACCTCTGGTTGTGAACGGGATCCGTTCCGGAGCCCCGTTCGCAGCATGAGCAGAACGCAAGCCGCGTCTGCGGGTCACGATTCGCCACTTCTGCGCATACGCGTGATGTCATTTTGAGCGTCTGCGCATGCGCGAGCGTCGAAACCTGGAAGTAACCCTTTCTGGTACTTCCGGGTCACTGCGGGACACAACCTGAAAACACTCAACCTGAAGCAAACGCAACACGAGGTATGACTGTACCTCATAATACCACAAACTGGGTCTTCAGGACAGTTGCATCTTCAGAAAGATGATCTGATCCACTGAATATGTTCTCACCTCCAAGGTTTGAGGGATACTGTCCCCCGCCCCCCGAGAGAAATCAGATTTAATTAACAGCCACCCACAGCAGCCGCAGGAACAAACCATCCCACAACAATTGACGCCAGCTTCATTCACGCTAATCAGACCCATTGTAGTATTATACTCAGCAGCAGTGCTCCTGGCCTACAGTTGGTGAGCCTCTTTATTTGCACAAGAAGAGCATTGGCAGTGTTTAAACAGCTGACCCCCCCGGTCTATTATTCCACTTGTTGAATAATGGGATACTAATGGCTGTTTGAAGTTGCAAGATCAATACAGCAAATCTAAAAAGAATGCTAATTAACTTGAACTAATGGTGAGGGCAGCAAATATTGAATGAAGAGCCATTAATTTCCTTCTATTGAGCATGGGAATATCTTTAAAGATGATGATAATAATAAACCAACTGGCTCTTTCCGACTGTGTTCCACACAAACACACTCACACACACTGCCAATTAACACATGGCATCATAGTGGGATAGTAAGAGCTGCTTCCACCGGCGACATATTTTGCACACAGATAGGAAAGAAAGCCCAGGGTGAGGGAGTCTGGGCTGTGAGGTTTGTGCACGTTATAAAGACGCTTAGTACCACTCAGGGTGAGAGACTGAACTGTCAGAAAGAGAGAAAGGCCCAATCTGGGTGGGAGGCATGCTTTATGTTGCTGTGTGTACAGCTTTGTATTGCTTTAAGTGGAGGTGGGTTAATAGCTGTAAATTACGTTTAATGCTGCCAGGGATTCTTTGTAGATCAGACTTTGCTTTGTGACAAGCGGTTGGCTGGGAATTAACTATGTTATTGTGGGTAAAGTTGGTGGGAATGGCTGAGAGCGAGGTTTGCATGTGGGAGATGCTGTCAGGGGCTGGCTGGATGACAAGGAGTGGTGGGAGGTGCCAGCCAGGGTACCCCAAAGGGAAACCCCAGAGGAGGAAGGCTCAGAGCCTGGGTGTTGGTGGTGGGAGAGGTCAGAGGAGGAGACTGGGAGGAGGGGCTGAATGAAGGGGCAGAAGAAGAAGAAGAAGAGTTTGGATTTGATATCCCGCTTTATCACTACCCGACGGAGTCTCAAAGCAGCTAACATTATCCTTTCCCTTCCTCCCCCACAAGAAACACTCTGTGAGGTGAGCGGGGCTGAGAGACTTCAGAGAAGTATGACTAGCCCAAGGTCACCCAGCAGCTGCATGTGGAGGAGCAGGGAAGCGAACCTGGTTCACCAGATTACGAGTCCACTGCTCTTAACCACTACACCACAGTGGGCAGGGATTGGAACGACGTGATTTTGCCAATTACGTAACTCAGCTGTCAAAAGAAAGATGAAGGGAACACAACACCACATGGGCTCCTCCAAGACCACCCCCTGGAATGATTACAGACCTCCTGCTCTTTCTTGAGAGCCTCCATGGCTTCTTGAAACTTCCTCTCCTTCGCTTCCATTTCAGCAATGGTGGCCTGGTTCTGCTCTTCATACGCCATGGCCACCACAGCCAAGATCAAGTTGATCAGGTAAAAGGAGCCCAGAAAGATGACCAGCATGAAAAACAGCATGTAGATCTTGCCAGCAGATCTAAGCGTCTGAATAAGACCAAGAGAGAGCAGGGGAGAGTCCATTATTAAAATGAATTGCTAGATTTAACCTTTGTGTTTATCAAACGCAACTCATCTCGCATTCTCAGATAAGGCTGCTGAAATGAAGAAAGCTTGGTTGGTGGGAGGGACAAGCAGTTTTTCATTTCTGTTCTTGTGATAGGTCAAGAGCCTATGCAATGTATTGGTCTTCCTTAGCCTGCTTGGCTCAGGAAGTTCATTACTGTATATGGCAAGTCAGGAGGAGCAAAACACTGCAACTCAGTTCTGGTAGCGTCCTGAGCTGAAAGGCACTCCAGTGTGTCCTCTTGCTGAATTCTATGCCTGCCTCTCTTTCTAAGCCAATATTTTGCACTTGGCTGATATAGCTCAGTCAGTAGAGCATGGAACTCTTAATCTCAGGGCTGTGGGTTCGAGCCCCATGTCAGACAATTGCAGGGGGTTGGCAAGATGACTCTCATGGTTCCTTCCAACTCTACAATCCCATGATTCTCTGGTGGGCCTTAGTGGTCTAAGAAAATACAAAGCAGACCCCACAAGCTTGGAGTTCCATCACCCCTGACTTAGGGATTGCTTCCTGGTTATAGAATCACATGTCTCTACTAACACCCCAGCCACTTAGCTTGTTTAAAGCTTTCTGAAATGAATGTCAGCTGCACAGGCAGTACTGCATTTATTTTTACAGGTTTGAATATTTTCTTGTTTTAATGTTTCTAGCAAGCCAACCAGAAAACTTTTTTTCAACCAGGCAACCTAAAAATATTTTATTGAAACAAAAGAACAGCAACACACAGATAAAATTGAGGAAGTGAAATTATTATTTCCACAGGAACATGAACGTTTATTTACAAGCAAATCCACTTAGCCTCTGCTTACAAAGCATCAATCACTGGCAGGTATCAGCGAAGGCAGCATGGTCTGAAAGTTGGTCACTAATTCACTTGCACAAAGTTAGGCCATCAGTCCATATAGGTCAGTATTGTCTACAATGGCTAGCAGAAGCTAGCCAGGATTTCAGCCATGGGTCTTTCCCAGCCATGTTCTGTGTGCAAAGCAGATGCTCTCACAGAGGTGGGGCCTCTCACTTAAGCATGGCAATGCTCACAAGGGAATTTAACACTGATGTGCCCAAGACTTGCCAACGGTGTGCACTAAACTGCTCTCATGAATCAATGCATCTATTGTTGTAAGAACTTTACATTTTGCAGAGCTCTGGTATGTACATGGAACTCCATGGGTGCGAAAGAAGGCCTGTGGAACGCCCTCCCACCAGATGTCAAAGAGAAGAACAACTACCAGATTTTTAGAAGACATCTGAAGGCAGCCCTCTTTAGGGAAGCTTTTAATGTTTAACAGACTACTGTATTTTAATACTTTGTTGGAAGCTGCCCAGAGTGGCTGGGGAAATCCAGCCGGATGGGCGGGGTATAAATAAAAAATTCTATTCTATTCTATTCTGTTGTTTCTGCTCTCGCAGCTGGCCCATTTATCAGGTATGCTTGAGGCCACACTTTTGTGTGTGCAAAATATTCCCCAGTGCATAAAATGGGGAAATAGCTGTATGCATGGAGGTCCTCAGGTTCAGTGAAGCCTGGCATATGGACTGCTTCCTGTGTTATTATTCAAAAATAGCCATTTCCCCATGAACAATGCTGCTATATGGGTGAGGCTGATTAATGGGTTTTCCTCACCCAACGGGCACCCTTAATCCTAGGTGGGTGCCAATTAAATAGGAAAATTCCACGTGACTGTCTCCACTTACATGGTTGTGACAATCACATAGAGCTACGTAGGATTACACCGCAGGAAACCAGCAGCCCTTGCAACCCTGTGACCCTGTAATGGAGCCAATTCATGACTTGACAAATACACAAAGCCGGCTGAGTTCACCACTGTGCCTTTTCCTTCTCAGTTTATAAAGTGGACTATAAAAAGATGATGACTTTATATGTCACAAGTCAACAAACGATTCTTCAAATATTCAAGGGTTCACATTGCAGCTAACAATTCAGATTTAATTTGCAGGCTGGTTAATAAGATAGGTTTAAATGCACCTGATCTTCCAGTCTTATTATGAAGCAACACAATATGGTTTCATGTTTGTTATGACTGAGTCAACAAGTCAAAATAAATGGCTGGAAAGAACATATACCATGGGATTTATCTTGTGAGAAATGATAGTGAAGGAACAACAAATGTATTCCACAAACTACGTTGGGAAATTCATATTTGAGTTTGACATTGTTTGTATGGCAGAAATGGAGAAAATTTCCTGCTCCAGGTATTTCCCCAGTCTCAACTTTCCTAGGACATGATATAAGCGACTTAGGCCCCAAATACCTGAACAACCGTCTCCTTCCCTTCAGATCGTAGGATGTTAAGATCTGTGGAGGGGGCTCTATTGGTTGTTCTACCACCCTCATAAGCTTGAAGGGGAGATTGCAACCCAGGAGAGGGCCTTCTCTGTGTTGGCCCCTAAGCTGTGGAAGGTTAATGTGGCACCTTCATTATACAGCTTCTGGCAAAGGCTAAAGGCTCACTGCTTTAACCTGTCTTTTGACACCTGGAGTGTATATTTTTAGGGCCCACCTTATTTTTGTGATTGTACACTGCTTTAAACTGTTTTTTATATTGTGTGTTAATTGTTTAACCCACCTAAGTTTGAAGGGTGGGTGATAAATAGCATAATAATAATAATAATTTGTACCTGGGAGACAAGTTTCCTCCTTTCCTAAATGGAAAGCCCATAGAGTCTGTGATGTGTTAAAGGAGAAGGTTATCCAGAAACAAAAGCAACCAGACAAATCAGTCTTCTACCTGTTGATAGAGGCGTTCCCAGCAATCCTGCGTCATGAGGCGGAACAAGGAGAGGAAGGCCCAGCCAAAGGTATCAAAGCTTGTGTACCCAAAGTCAGGATTGTCACCAGCCTTCAGACAGATGTAATTGTCTGGACAAGAACTGCAGGAAGAGAAGCAATAAGCAATAAAGGCTACTGGTGGGGAAAGTTCTCTCAGCTCAGTTTGGAAGTTTGATGGCAACGGAGTCATTGGATAATATTTGGGGGTTTTTTTAATAAATAAAAAATGGACAGCACTGGCACACAAAACTTTGCAGCAACTGGTACTCATCCTTCCATGCCAGAGGCAACACCTCTCTGTCTTGCTGCAGCAACCAAAATTCCCGACTTCCCTTGTCCCCTAAATGCTGCCCCCTGAACCAACCTGCCACCCCCTAGCTCCATGGTCTGGACAGTCCTAGAAAAGATATCGCTCCTCCCTCCCCTGATAGAGTTCTGAATTGACATGTATGTAACAATGGCTTCATCTTATCATTCTACCACATCATTTTCTGCTGCCTCTCAACTACAGTGGTACCTCAGGTTAGGTACTTAATTCGTTCCAGAGGTCCGTTCTTAACCTGAAACTGTTCTTAACCTGAAGCACCACTTTAGCTAATGGGTCCTCCTGCCGCCACGCCACCAGAGCACAATTTCTGTTCTCATCCTGAAGCAAAGTTCTTAACCTGAAGCACTATTTCTGGGTTAGCAGAGTCTGTAACCTGAAGCGTATGTAACCTGAAGCGTATGTAACCTGAGGTACCACTGTAGTGATCTGTTTTCTATCCAAGGCCCCTAGAACATTAAATATCACTCAGGTCACATACAGGGATGGATGAATCCGCCCATTTTGATTTCTTTCATGTCCCCAATATTAAACTCAGTTCTCCACATTTCTGTAGCAATTTGTGACTACTTCTTTTGTCATGAAAATGGATCAGCATTTTGGTGAGAATTTATCCCAACGCCCAACATTTTTTTGCAAGCCATATCCCCTAATATCATGGAACTTGTATGTTATTTTCTCAAATGTATGCATTTTTATACACAATTTGCCCTAATATATAAATTTTTGTACACAATATTTGACTGGAGAACTGCACTGCAAAATCTGGAGAATACGAATTTCAAAGGATAATTGTGTTCTGCTTATCCTGCTGCTTCGAAAAGTGTGAGGCTGGGCAATCTTCCTTTCAGGAATCATGTTCCCACCGAGGAACCCTCTAAAAGCCCTAGCAAATATACTCTGGACAATTTATATGCCATGGGGGAAGAAATGAGCCTGTCACGTTATCAAAATCTTCTGATATACAAGGAGTGGCAATGCGAACTTTTCCCATTAGCATCTTTCCAGAAGAACATCCACAGGACACCATATGATTAATCACAATAAAAAAGTACAGTGCTATTGATTAAGGACAGTTAACAGCATCAATCTGCCCACCCATCAATCAGGCTGTACTCAACAATGCGGGATGGCCATTTATTTATTTTTAAAGGCCTTTTTTGTCAAATCAGCAACAGAGATTGTATATCCCTGATATCAACCTCTACTGTATGAGGCAAACATAATTAGCTGAGATGGCTTTTTAAAAGGATTAGACAAATTCATGGAGGGTGTTCCTCAATAGCCATTAACCGTAATAGCGAAGTGGAACTTCCATGTTGAGACGCACTGTATCCCCAAGTACCACAAGGGACAAACAGGAGGGGACGGCAGTTTCCCTGTTTGTGAGCTCTTTGGTGGCACCTGGCTAGGATCACAAACAGGAACAGAATGTGATGGACCCAGCAGGATGCTGGAATTTGCAAAGAACGAATTCTCAAGCATCCCTACTCACATGACCTGCCTGAATCCGCCCAGCTCCACCCGCTAAGTCACCCTTCCACCTGCCTCCAGGCACCAGAATCTGATGAAACAATGGCTAGCTACTCTTAACAAATAGGTTCTCTCTTTTGCGTTACACACCATATTCCAAGAGGGCTTTAGTGCTAACTGCAAAAAGCATTTCTTTAATTCTACCTCTGCAGAGTGTCTAACAGGTGCCTGAAAATTTTTTTATGTGCTAATAGGGATTTTCTAATGAAACGCTGCAGCGGCAGCAACAACAACAACAGAAATAGTTCCCTAAAGAGGTTTTAAAAATAACGTTGAGGTTCACTGGAGAATTTTCTAAGGCCTCGTTCTCCTTCTAAATTACTCGTATTTATAGACTTGAGGTGAAACAATACATCTGAAACTGGGGAAGAAAGATGTTTCGTCCTATAGAACATAAAATTTACTTTGGTCTCAATCTATAAATGAAAATGAGGGTCCAAGAGAGGATAATGGCAATTAAGGTTTCTATAGCAACCATAGCTAGGATGCCGTTGCCAAAGGTGCTCTCTTGTTACATCTCCAAGTTGCCCCAGTGGCTTCATTTCTTTCCTTGGGATTTGCCAACCGAGCTTTCTTGACAATTTCAGAAGAGGCAGAAGGCAAAGGCCTCTCTAGTGCACATAGAAACAGGTTTCCAGGTTGCCATTCCCTGCCCGCACTCCTGCACTTTTAACCGTGGCAAAACGGGCAAGAAGCCAAAAACCTAGAATCGTAGA